AACACTATTGTACTGTAATTGGCAAATGTGATTATGTTAGTAATATTTGCAATAATGTTAACGATTGCATGATAAATAATTCTACTACATCTGTTAAAGTGAAACATACTTTAGAAGAACAGATACAAAGTAACATTGAAACAATTAAAACTGATGTAATTCTTGAAACAAAACGGGTAATTTTTTAATTGAATAGAAAACACAATTTTGGTGTTATTTTCAGTGAATAATTTTTAAATATTAATCTATTATGTGGTCTATTTTATTTTATTAATAGAATGAAGAATTAGCTGACAGAACTACAGAACAAGGAAAAATTTTGATAAATGAATTGAAGTCAAGTATGAACAGAAGCTGTAATGTATTGAAAGAGTACAAGGATCTTATTGAATGCAATATTAAAGACATGGAACCGAAAATAGATATCGATAAAAATGAAGTTCTTTCATTAGTTAATGTAAATTTACAAAAAGTCTCAAATTTAAATGGTGATGAAATATTAGAAACTAGTTTTATTATGTAAAGATTTATTTTTTATAGGATACACATAAAGTAACTTTAGATGCATGTAAAAATCATGAAGAATTCTTGAAAGACAGAAAAGTCAAAGCTTCTGATACTTTTGAAGAAATATCCAAGAAATTGCAAAACCAAGAAATGGAATCATGCATATTAAATGATAAAGTTGTTGGACAATTGCAGGCAACGGTACATGAAATCAACAAATTCTTTAATCAAGATATACAACGTGATATTCCAACAGGTATTTTATTTTGTTAATAAAAAAGAAACAGTTCCATAATTTTTTTTATTAACTTTTTTTTAGGGTCAACTCCTGCGAGGAAAGAATTTTCTTATCCTCGCCATTTTGTAGAAACGTCGCCGCATGAACGAATCCTTCAAAGGTTTAAAGAAAGTAGAAAATGTGTCGAGACAACAGAAAATGATGTAAGTAACATGCATATCATAAAGTATATTTTATTTGCTTTTAAAATTTTCTCATATATTGTAAATATGTTATTTTTCTTTCTATATGACGAACATATATAGGATGATACGTACACGAATAATGATATAACAATAAAAGAAATTGCAAATTCAATTGCTTTGTCTGATAGTACACTTCTATCTCCACTGGATAACACATTTTCTGCATCTGTCTTAAATAATAATTCTTTACCAGAACACACAAATTCGTGTAACTCTGTAGATTCTCATGCTGAAAATATTACACAAACATTAGATATTTCTTCAATATCTGTGCAATCCCATGTTCAATCTGAATCAGAAATTTACATGGAGGTAAAACTTGGCTGTTTATATTTTATTTTATTGGTTACTTTTGAATAATATTGATAATATAATTGCTATGCGATATGTAATTCACTATTGATATAAAATTCATATTACAGGATGAAAACCAGGAGAAATAACGACTGTACCCTTACATCTAAAAAAGTAAAAAATATAAAACAATCAAGACTGCAAAAACCAAAAGCGAAAGTACTAGGAATACGTAGTTCTAACACGTAATTTCTTTTACAACAAAAGATTCTTTTTTAAATTTACGACACAAGTTTTACATTTTACGAAGCATTTCCTTATTTTGCATATTCTTTATAAGATGTCAAAGTTAAAAGAAATTTAAGTACAAATTTTTAAATAATAATTCTTTCTCTTGTTTTACAATATATGACAATAGAAATGAGATGTTCAATAATTATTTACTGAAGAGATTTCATTATTTAGAACCTTTTCAAACAAATGCAAAAATTGTGTTAATCGTACTTTATTTCTCGTAAAAAAGGGAAAGAACTGTGACTACATGTTGAACACAATGAAAAAATTATAAAATGAGAATAGAAAGGTGCATTTTACTTATTTTGGAAGAGAAGAAGATACGGTATTGTTTATAGAATTACTAATAAATTTTTGGACTTTAAGTATAATAGAAGAATAGAATCAAATCATCGAAGAATAATTAACTTTACGGATACCATTGGAATTAACACTTTGTAATCAAAGCGGAATTCACAATCTAGAAGGCAATAAGTATTAATGTAGGAGCCGAAGAAAAATACGAGAGACGGGAATTGAACTTTTTGGCCAGCAAGCCAAGGCGCCCTCCTAATCTCCTCGTTGTTATATGCTCCTTGTATCGGTCATGGAGGCACCGATCCCACATTAATTATACCTAATTATACACATATATTGTAATATAGAAAATA